TAAACAGTTGCTATTCTTTTCATCGGTGTTTTATTATTAACTCCATTATTTTTTTCAATAAAATCTTTAGTTTGATTTTTAAGAAATATAACATTTTTTAATCAGACCCTAATGCTAAAGCAACTAGTTTGTATAAATATCCGTTGTTTTATTTGGCGCAATTTGTTGATATTACTTTTGTAGAGAAGATAGTTTTGTAGAGACGATATTTTTGTACAGAAGATTTTTGTGGAAACACTATTTTTGTAAAGAAGATACTTTTGCAGTAAAGATATTTTTGGAGAGATTATACTTTTGCAAAAAAGATAGAGTAACAAAATAAATTCGGTTGAATTGGAGCTTAGGCTTGGTGCTTTTTTTACCTTTTTTTAAAAAGGTAAGTTTTTTAGGTGATTGGATTGTACACCAGATGTGAGCCATCAAGAGTAATTATCTGTTGTTCTTCGTTATGTCACCATAACAGACGAGGAGGTTGAAATCAAGGAACATTTTATCAAATTTGAAACAGTTCACGATACAACAGGAAAAGGACTATCTGAAACTATCATGTTCATGCTGGATCAGTTGGGAATGAAAATATCCGACTGTCGCGGACAAGGATATGATAACGGTGCTAATATGTGGGGAATATATCAAGGAGTACAAGCAAATATATTACGTGTAAATCCTAAAGCGTTTTACGTACCATGCGGTAGTCACAACTTGAATTTGTTATTGGGAGATATAGCAAAATCATCAACCCAAGCACTATATCTTTTTGGTGTTTTACAAAAGATTTACACAATATTTGCAGCATCGACATCGCGTTGGGATGTTCTACAAAAACACGTTGAAAAAATTACACCTAAACCATTATCAGAAACTAGGTGGGAATGCCGTTTTGATAGTGTAAAGGCTATTCGATTTCAAGTTCGCCAATTTCGAAACGCCTTGATCGAAATTGGCAACAACGCATCTGACAATAAATTGAAAATTGAGATTTTGTCTATAGTGCGAAAGATAAATGAATTCGAATTTATTGCCAATCTTATCATTTGGTACGAAATATTATCAAAAATTAACATCGTCAGCAAAGTATTGCAAAATCAAAAGATGCAAATCGATTTGGCCAAGAAGCATCTGAAAGGTCTTAACGTAGCTATTCTTTGCGGAATACAGAAATGAAGGATTTAGCAAAGCTATGATCGCAGCAAATGAAGTTGCAAAAGAAATAGACATAACACCAGATTTGAAATCATCATACAGGGGTAAAAAACGGAAATTATTCGATCATGAAGGACAGAATGAATCATCGACGATCAGCGACAAAGAATACTTCTGTGTACATTACTTTTTAAAAATAATAGATACTGCATTAGTATCCTTTAAAAGTAGATTCGAATTATATGTAAATCACCAAAATATTGTTGGTTTTCTATACATGAATGAGATTGGGAATTTAGATGATGAATATTTATTAAAGTATTGTTAAGATCTTCACTTACATTTGGAAGGAGATTTCAACGGAACTGAAATGTTTGAAGAAATTAAGATGTTCCGGTCAATAACGCAAACCAATTATTTGGCTTTAGATTCGATGAATCACATTGTAAAGAACAATCTCTTGGAAGCATATCCAAATTTATTAATCGCATTACAAATTATGTTAACGACGCCAGTAACCGTGGCTTCAGCAGAACCGTTCTCGCGGTTGAAACTAATAAAAAGTTATCTGTGATCATCGATAAGCCAAGCGAGATTTTCATCTCTGGCTATTATGTCAATAGAAAGTGAAGTAGCAAATTCAATCGATTTTGATGATGTTATCAAAGATTTGACGTCGAAAAAAAGCAAGAAAAATTATTTAATATTATTATTGGATTGTATTATTATTTAATATTCATCTTATAAAAAATATATAATATGTAACAGCATTTGTAAATAAATAATTTCTCGTAAAATTTAAGTGTAGGATTTGAATGTGTATTCAGGCCCCGTAAAATTTTTGAATCGGCCCCGCAAAAGGTCATGCCGGCCCTGGGAAGCTACCTAGTATATTCACAGTAAATCACAAGATGTGTCTCGGAAATTCTGAGAATATAGGCAATATACTTTTACGATATTCTCAAAACATTCTCAGACTCTACATGGTCTATATGGGGTATTACCGTTAAAAAGATTATCGCTTTAGCACACCTTGTATAATATAATCACAGTTATACTACCTTTATTGGCACTGCATCCGGCCTTATCATTCTTGCAACAAGTAGTTTGTGAAAGGGTGTTAAAACGGTTTCCCAAGGTTGCGGTAGAAGCAAGTTAACTGGATCCAAGAAATCATAATACTCTTTCCAGGATGATACATTGTCTAGGAAGCTTTGGGTAAAATTGATGAAAGCTGGTAGAATGCTGCTAATCTTCAAAACTTCACTCCAGGATTTTGTAGAAAGCCAGTTGCTGGCAGGATTCTTTGTTGTCGGTTCACTCAAAGCAAAACCACCGGAAATAAAAAATGACATCTCATCTTCAGTGATTTCACCTGATGTCAGCAAGATTGTCGTGTACAGAATAAACGAGTATAAAATCTGTCAAATATTAAAAATTATAGTTAATTTTATTACGCACAATTCCAGTTTTCCTAGCTTTCGATCTAGGATGATTTATAAAGTTAATGAATAATTTTATATTCATTTTTATTTCTTACAATTTATAAGTTTATTTACAATTTATACATATACAGATATGTGTATTATATAGGGTGGCCCAGTATAAGTGACACATTAATTTCTCTGTAAAACCGAGGCTTGTATAAGAAAACAATAGTTGTTTTGGTAAATATGCAGAAAAGGTCACACCTCACCGATTTCCTCGCCACTTAGATATGTTGTAGGGGAGAGTTTTCTGAGTAATTCCCCGCAAGAATCAAGTGGGGGACGGCATTGGTTTAGGTGATATAACAAATTGAAAACTAAAAATTTTAATACTTTTTCTTAGTAATTTTTATTAAAATGCCTGTGTGGCTACCTTTAAAATCATAAACAAACTACCATTTTCATTTACAAGGTCACACCTGCCCCCTCCCGCAACGGTCGGTACGGATTGAACACACACACACACGCGCGCGCGCGCACGCTTAATTCTTCTCGCGGCGCAGACTGACCGAGCAAGCGAGATCCACTCTACACCTCAGACATGGTTTGGGTATGGTTATATTTTAACGAAGTGGAGCCCCCCCGAAGGGGCGGAACACACTGTCTTCACGCATGTACCTCCACCATTGTACTGTTCCACATGGGTTTGCAACTTTCCACGTGAAGCGAGATCCACTCCACACCTCTGACATAGGGTGGGTAGGGTTATTTTTAACGAAGTGGAGCCCCCCCGAAGGGTAATTGATTGATCAAGTACGTTTTCAGTTATCAGGTTTAAATAATGACATATACATACACCAAGCATTCCTATGTTTTTACTATGGAACAGGTAAAACCGGAAGTTGGAGGCAGAGATAATTTATTTGTCCCTACTACTTTCTCACTCTAATTTATTACCTAACCTTTTTGAATGAAGGCAATATCGGTAGTTGCTCTAACCAATAAAGGCAAGATTGGTGGTTGATCTAACCAATGAAGGCAAGATCAGTGGTTAATCCAGCCAGAAAAAAAATCTGACCGTGTAAGTTTCATGTGGTACCCCTATACTTTAAAACTCCATAACTCGAAAAATACTCGATGAAAAATTACTTTATTAGATAAGCTACAGAGATGTCTAAAGAAAAATAAGAGGTTTCATACAAGAAAACAAAATTGATTTTTATATGATCTTGCCACATTCACCCAAGGTCAAATCAATGATATCATTTTATGTTTCCCTTCAAATAAAATAACTTTTGTTTGAACATTTTTTAATACCAGCTTTGGTTTTCGAGAAAAATCAATGCATTACTTAAAACAAACCATCCTATATGTAGATATATGTATACATAGTGCTCCGCAACTTTTTGACCGCCATTCATGGGAAGGTAGAGGAAATTAAAACAAACAGAAAAGTCCTCTACCATTTTGCCTTGGAGGTATAGTTATCGATATATTGATCTTAAAAAATCGCTGTATTAGTCCGACCTAAATATAAGTGCGCAGTGAGATGCGGCCGCCACGCACCGCCTCAAGCGGTAGCCGATGGGCGGGCGGAACTCACCGCGCACTTACATTTGCCAGTAGGTTGGGCTAATACGACGATTTTTGAACATTAATATCTCGATAACTATTCCTCTAACAATAAGTACAAAATTGTAGAGAACCTTTTTGTTTGGCATAGTCCTTTCTATTTTCCTGTGAACGGCGGTTAAAAAGTTGCAGAGCACTATGTATAATGAAATAAGACGATAAATAAAAATGTTTTTTTCTTTAAACATATTTTAATATCACAAATACCTTATACATAAATTTATTTTTAGTATAATATCCTTAAATGTAAAAATAATATAATCCGTGTTTCAACAATTCTCCTGAAGAATGCCTCTGTAGGTTGTGCCGGGGGAGTCTCGTCTATTTTGCGGAGGTGGATCCAAGGAGAGGGGTTTTTAGCCCGTACTCCCGCTTTTCGGGAGAGTCTAAGGCATAAGGAAAATCTGGATTGTTCTCGAATTAGGAGTCCCCACGAGAGGGTTCCCCCCGTTTTGAAGGAGCTCTTTGATGAAGATTCCAAGAATCTGGCGGAACCGGAGAAGGAAATCTTCTCCGATTTTTTGAGCGAGTTCTGTGATGTATTTTCTCAAGACATTGTCGTGGGGAATTGTAATATTGTCGAGCATGCGATAGATGTGAAAGACTCTCTTCCGATTAAACAAGTTCCACGTCGTAGTTCCTTACAAATGCGATAAGAGGTGAGCGAAATTATATTAGGTGTACAAATGAATAATCCAAATTATTTTAAGCAGTTATGAAATCAATTTTAAATTGAATAGATTTTTCCGCTCTTTTGTGTTTATACAATGTTGACATATAACTATTAAAAAGAACATATAGTGTGGCGAAAGGCCCAACGTAACCTTCAAAAGTATTCAGTTCAGTACAGTCGAAAATGGCAACAGATAAGGTGCATATCCGACATTGCATTCTTTACGAATTCCAGCAAGGAAAAAATGCTACAAGAGCGTCCGAATCGATTTGCTCCTTTCTCGGCGAAGGTGTTGTATCGTACGATGTGTGCGCATTTTGGTTTAAGCGGTTTAAAAGCGGTGATTTTAGTCTAATCGACAAACAACGCCCTGGAAGCCCTCGGAAGCGCGACAACGATGATTTGGAACAACTGCTCGCTGAGAATTCGGCACAAACGCAAAAAGAGCTTGCAGAACAGTTGGGAGTAACGCAGCAAATGATTTCCAAACGCTTACATGAGATGGGAAAGATCCAGAAAGAAGGAAAATGGGTTCCGCATGAACTCACTGAAACCAACAAAAATCAACGAGTGGCAGCGTGTCTTTCTCTTCTCAATAAGCAGCGTTGGAAGTCTTTCTCGTGGAAAATCGTTACGGGCGATGAGAAATGGATACTCTATGACAATCCGAAACGCAGAAAGTCATGGGTAAATCCCGGCGAATCATCAAAATCGGTCGCAAAACCCAATCACTTCGGAAAGAAGGTTCTTTTCTGCATTTGGTGGGATATCAAGGGCGTGCTTTATTATGAGTTGTTGGAACCGGGTGAAACAGTTACTGCGGATTGCTACCAACGTCAATTAATCTGCTTGAGTCAAGAATTGGAACGAAAACGCCCGTATACTGGCAAAGGAGAACGTCCAGTGAAATTGTTGCATGACGCCAGGCCACACATTGCTTCCAATACAAAAGACACCATGAGTCTTGGCTGGGACGTCTTGCAGCACCCGGCGTATTCACCCGATATTGCTCCATCCGATTACCACTTGTTCCGGTCGATGCAACACGCCTTGTCCGATATGCACTTCCAAACAGTGGATGAGATCCGAAAATGGCTTGACGACTTTATCGTATCCAAAGACGTAACATTTTTCCGAGATGGAATTCATCAGTTGCCTGAAAGATGGCTTAAAGTTATAGAAAGCAACGGATATTTTGATTGAACAATTTCATTTACTTTCTTTTAAAATAAATCCTGAATGTAGCTGAAAAAATTGGATTATTCATTTGTACACCTAATAGAATATAT